AAAAACAAATGGTCCTTTTCTGAAATATTGACCCTACCGTGTGCTATTATTAGGCAAACACAATTATCTTTGCAATCGATAAATGTGCTTGGGTACAGCTTCTGCTGGTACTGTGGACCAGCCTTGTTGTCATGCTGGCCTTGTGCCCTTGTGTCCTAAAGAGCGCACTGTCAGTTTAAAAGTGTCCAATAAATTGCATTATAATAAACAAGGGTTCAATTGCTGACGGAGTAAATTGCCTTACAAGAGAGGAGGCAATAATTTGCAAGCCAGCAGCAACTGTACTCTACTATCAAAGTTGTCTTATTCGACTACTGCCACGCTTGTTTTAGCATCACTAGACGCTCGCCCACCCGATGGGATGGTTATTTAGTAAAGACGTCTAGTTGTGTATAAAGCGTAATATTTGCAAATAACAAGACGTGGACGGTGTTTCTCTTTTACAAGGTTGTTACTGTGCTCAGCAACCAAGTCGAGCTAAAGGTGACAGCAATTGGCACTATAGAAAAACTGCCAAGTTTGCTAAAATGAATTAAAAGTACTTTTTCGCACTGAATGACAAAATTAAATTGAAAATCAGACATTAGTGTCTCCTCGAAAGTCGCATGTTCTTGATCAAGTCATTATTTGTAAGACGTGTCTTTTTTGTAGGTCAGCTCGGTGCTCCCAATAGTGATAATGGGTGAGAACAAGTTTGGACAACGACAAGCCACCTTGGATCGAATAATTTGGCCAATTATTTTGGGCGCTGTGCTTCGATTGCCGATCGGCGCAGTAGCAAATTTGATTCATGGGCGCAGGCCCTGTGCCCGCCCATGAAGCAAAGTAGAAGACAGCAGTGCTCTCCTTGATTAATCGTGTTTATAATTGCTGTGCTGCAATATTTGCATAATTGACAGTATCACTCAACGGAACTTGTTCACAAAATTGCCTTGTGCAAAAAAGAAAATCAAATTTAGGCCTAGTAGGAATAGTGCCTAATGTCTACTTTTGGCGATTGAATTGAGCGATCGTGTCCCACATGTCGTCAGCGATCTGTCTGCCAAGTCCTCTAACGAATCATCTTTTTTTTGCAGAGCATTACAAACGGCAGCACCACTCCTCAAGTCCCGTCAACTGATGGCCATTTGAATCCATTTGCCATCGACGCTAATCGACAGTTTAGCCGTGATTTAAATTCGATAAACATGTCTGATAATAAAGTGCGTCCCGAGGAGCGGCCACTGCGAGGAAGCAATTGCCAGTGGCGCAGTGAAACACACCAGCAAGTGACAACTGTCTCCGACTGTCAAGTAAAATGTCATCAATTTGGAGGACTTTTCGGCCCTGCTGCCACTACCAGTGAGTGCAAATTTGCCATTTTCCCTCTATCCCCCTGATTATAGCCCTTATTACAAAGCTGCAGTCACTACCAGTCTGCAAGGCGGCACTAGATTCGGCCTTTATCGGCAAAAACAATATTTATCAAGAGGACATTTTAGCAAACAATTGCAGTGCGCCCACTGCTACTTTCACTACCAATACAGCATTTTTTTGCTAGCAGTATCGTTTGTCTGGCAGTGAAATCAAAAGCAGTTTACAGTTTGCTCAGTACATGGTTGCCAGAAAAAAGAGTATCTAGTTGACTTTTTGCAAGAGATCCAATTGTGATTGCTCTCTGATTGTGATTGCCTGCCCCTAATCGCAAATTGATACAATTGGGTCGGTGCCAGTGAATAGAAAATACTCATGACAAACACTACACTGACAATTTGAGCGGTAGTTTTAAAACAATCGATTTGTGTTGAAGCTAGCAATTTGATTGAGGTGTTTTGTGCTTGTAACTAATCTTGTTATTACACTGCAGCCTACATTAGCCCTCACACCAGTACACACTGGGGCCAAGTGATGCAGCAGCCAACAAAGGAATCAATTTCGCCACCTGAAAGTGAGTCGAGGCACAGGGCAAATCCGAGCAGACACATGCAGCAGACACAGTGGCCTAGTGTCGATAACAACAATGCCGGGGACAATACGTGCACTGGCAGTGCACTGCACTCAACTGAACCACCGCCGAGAATGGCCCAGCAAGCACACTGCCGTCGCCCAAGACAAGCCAGCAGTGGTGGTGGCCAACTTGTCTACCAGCCATCACCATCACCACCGACAAGCCTCATTGCCGTTCGGCAGTTGACAAATTTACCGGTGAGCCATTGTTCAGAGGGCACACCGAATGAGAGGCAATTGAATCAACTGCCAACGCCACAAACGGCCCAACTCGACAGGACCCTTTTCTCTGCTGATGACCGATTGTGTCGTCTAGTTGATTCGCATGGCAAGCACGACTACTACCAGTTTGGCAGTGCTGGTGGACGAGTGGCTGCAAACTTTGCAACGCAGCAGGCAGTGCCCGCAACAAAAGGTAAATTGACTGACTGGCAAGAAAAGAAAGAAAAAGAGGGCTACTGTGGGATAATCACATTAACAGAGTTTGCCGATGCCTAAAAGACGGCGGCAACTTGAGTAATCTAAATAATCTAAATCGAGTGTTCCACTTTATTCTCTCACAGAAGCATCTGCAGATTGCTCATTCACTGGAAAAGCCAGTGCTGCTGCACTGCTGGCAAATCAAAGTCTGCCGCTCGTCGGACTCGTCGATCGTCGAGCAAATCGATCGACGGACGCCTTATCCAGCGGCTTAGCCGGAGCTTCAGCAAAGTGCACCAGCACAAGTGGTTCGCACTACTACCTCATCCCTCGATCCATCCCAGTGCCTGTCAGTTCCTTCTTTGGCAGCAGCACCAGCAGCAGCAGGCAATAAATTGCAAGAGTGAATGCAGCCAGCCATTGGGAAATGTTCAAGAAAAACACACTCATATATTAATATTTAATGCACCTGTCTCCTGTCTGCTGCCACACGGCTAGGTTGACCAGTCTATTTTTCTTCTTCTTCTTCTTCTTCAAGAGGAGCGTGCACGCAAGCAGCATTACTGTACTCGTTTTGTCGCCACGATGCTGACAATAAAAAAGGCCATTCAAAAGTACGGCAGTTGCACCCATTGGTAATTTGCAATTGGCATCAGTCTAATCTTGATGTAAACGAGCCACTTTGTGGTCGCCTCCAAATGAACTAGACCAAGGCAAGGGCCACTGGTCCACTACTGAAACAATATACGCCGGAGCGACGAGTACTGCTCTTGTGAGACTCGTTACATTTATTCATTTAATTTCACTGCACAATGCACAAAGACTGCACTGTGGCAGCAAAAGCCGGCGACAGAGACGGTAAGAAAGAGAATCAAGAAAGAGGAAGAGAGAGCGGTAACAAGTAAAAGTGAGGAAATCTCTGCAGCCCGAAAACAGAGCCGCAAAAACGTTGGCAAACTGATAGACATTGATATTTTCCTCTCCAGTGGAAAAAAAGTCTAAGTGGCAAGTGGAAAGTGTGCAGGCTCTTGAAGGCTCTTGAAGGGCGCTCCTCCTCCTCCTCCTCCTCCGTGGCTAGAGCATCTCGCGGGAAAAGGTAAACTTGGACTGGAGCGGACTGGTGGCTGAACTGCCGGTAGTGCCGGGGGCATCGGTGGCCGAAGTCGCCTGTAAGGTGATGTTGCCGTTGCCGTTGAAGCGAACTCGCATGTCCGTCGTGCAGGCTTCAGAGGCACAGCTGTACCGGGCCGCTCCGTGGTACCGTGGCTTGTCGAACATGTTCTGGTCCTTTTGCCGCAAACAAGTGCAGCAGAAAATGTTTTTGAAGCCTTGTCTAAATCTGTGCCAGTGAATGAGCGGATGAAAACAAACGTGGTCAGTAAAGAGGAAAAGATGCAAAGAGGCAAAGATGCAAAGAGGCGCGCATACTAATTGACATGCAAGTCAGCCTGCCCTGAGCAGCTGATTTTGTCCATTTGTAAGCGACTGCAAAAGTGGACAAAAGTGGAGCCAAGTAGGGCCGACTGTGCCTAAGCGACTAATGCGTTTATGAAAAGGGCCTCGCTCTCACTGCCGGCAACAACAGAAACACAACAGCCTTAGAGATGGCACTTTGTCTTTTAATCTGAGGCGCCAAAATGGGTGACCAAGCCTTGTGGCAGAAAAGAAAAAGATGGCAAAAGTTACAAACCTGGAGTTCATCCAACAGTAGACAAAGGGATTATACATGCTGTACAGAATAAAAAAGAAAAAAAGTGTTGTTAAAATGCATTCAAAAGATACTTTTTGTTTGATATTTGACTGCTTTCGACACCAGTTTCGGTACCTATTAGACATGGCCAGCCAGTATATTGACAGATAAGTGTGCTGAGCGTATTCTGAGCTGACGATACTCGGGTAGTGGTGAGCAAGGAGAAAGTATACGTGGTAAGGAAACCAGCAAATCTAAAAAGAAGAGTAATGTAATAAAAGAGAAAGAAATGATAGATCAAATGGATACTAACGCCAAATATTGCCACCACGATCATCATCATCTTGACAATCTAAACGGAGAAGAGAAAAAAGACGACAGTGAAAACCTGAATGGGAAAATCGTTACTGGGTGAATCAATACTTTTCGTTTCGATTTGATGCTTTCCATTTGCTTGGCGGTACACTCGCCGATGCTCTGACTGCCCCATAGCTCTTTGCCGACGCGAAAGTAAGTGTAGCTCATCGAAACAATTGGCAGCATGTAAGTCACCAGCAGGATGAGAATATTGTAGCTGCAGGGGGAAAGGAAGAGGGAGAGGAAAAGGAGGGAGAATATTAATGCGAGCCGCCTGTCAGCAAAGTTGACTGCACTGGACATGGACAGGGACAAAAATTGCCGCCAGTGAAAAAGTCTTTAGCGAGTGGATGACAGAGACTGAATGGAGGCGCATTGGCCGGCGGCCGGCATCACTGTGTGGGCGCCTGCAGTGTCTGCGTGTGGTTGGTGGTAACCCTGGCTACATGGCTGACTGCCTCCCGAATCGGCAGACAATCGAATATCAAATTGCCATATTGCTGCGAGGCGAGATGCTCCCGCTTTATCATCGGCTGCCTTTGTTGCGTCCGCACATAATGAAGTAATCTCACTCACTCGCACGCGCTCGCTCGCTCGCCACCGACTGGACGGCGTTCACAGACAGAGGAAGGGCTGCTTTTCTCTTTTTGGGCCATGCTCCTGCCGGATAACAATGGGTAATTCTGGGCAAATAGTCAGCTGTCGTCGTCGTCGTCGTCGTTATATTTTATTAATACAAACTAAAAGCCAAAGAAAAAAGGGAAGAAAAAAGATGGAATAAAGATATGGCCAAAAGAAAGCTGGCAGATGAGCGAGGCCACTTAATTGCCTTTGTGACTTTATTTACTTATTTATGTTTGCACTTATTAGTTTTGCATTAATATTAATAAATTAAGAAAAATTTGCTTTTGGAATTTAGATCAAATTTAATTTCCTGCAATCAATAGAGATGCACATAACGCGATAAAGGGGAAAAAGGGAGGCAAAGACAGAAGCAAGATAAAGTGCTCTGCAATGATATTAATAAATGGCACTACCGCCGCTGAAACACCGACTGAAAGGGCAAAAAAGTGTGATGGCACAAAACGTCAGTGGAAGATTGTGCAGATAGTGGGAAAGACGGGAGAGGGAACTAACAAAACTGGGCAAGGCAGTCAACACCGGTGACAGCAAAGAAAAAGACTATGACGACGACGACGACGACACTCGGATACAACGGGGATGCTCCCTACCGACACCTTTCAAGTGCCGCAGACTGAGAAACTGCAAAATGTATGTGTGGTGGTGGTGGTGGAAAGTCAAGTTTGCCTGACCACATCACTGACTACACACACTACGAGTTACTCCCATCATGGTAAGCTTTTGATGGCTCACCGAGTCACTCGTTGTCTCTCGCTAGCAAGAAAAGGGCAAAAAAGGAGGCAAGTGACCAGGCTCATGGCTTTCCGTAATTGCATCAATCGCATTTAATTAATTCTCAGCGTAACAATATTGTTAATAATGCAGCCTATATTGGCGGAATTAGTCGCAGCTACATGTCGCCCCCAGTGAGCCTTGTCACATCGCCAGCCCGTCCGCCACTCACATTGGGCGAATTAATTTTTAATAAGCACCTCAGCGTAACTCATCTCTGCCGAGGAGTCTTCCACGCTGACTGCAAACCGCCTTGAAGCTTTGTTCACAGCTCTTTTCCTGCCTTGGCCTGTCTCTCAATCTTGCTCTTCTCGCTCTCTCTCTCCTCGTTTTCTCTCTCTCTCTCTCTCTGCAATGGCCAACTTTAATGGCTCAAAAGTGCAATCGTTGCGCGTAATTGTTTCAAATTACGTGTCACACGCTTTGATTGCGTGGCCAAGCAGGCGCTAGCCCAGCTCAGCCTTAGCCTAGCTTTGCGTAGGCCTAGCAAAACGAACCGACGATGCAATTAAAGTTAATACAAAAAAAGAAGAAATGCTGCAGTCAAGAAGAAATGACTTACATATATTCCATTCTTGACTTTGTAGAAGGTCCGTCGTACCACTCCAAGTAACAGATGACTAAAGTCGGAGAAAGGTGCCAGGCAAGAGAAACATATGAATGATTAATGAAAAGGAAATAATTCAATTAAAGACGGTGTGAGGTAACCTCGAGAGTCGCCATTTCTGAAACTTTCCAGCAACGTTGTCGAGTAAATGATGTTTGGCAAGGAGAGAAGACTGCTGCAGATCCAGATACAAACGATTATGTTCAGGGTCATAGTGCGTGACATTCGCGGCCTCAACGGGTGCACAATGGCCAGGTACCTGGAGAATGGTGGCAAAAGTTTGTTGGTTGGTTTGTTGATTTAGTCATTGTAGTTCTAATGCAAACATGCAAAACATGCCAAAGTATACTGCCATTCCTTCAACGTAATGTCCAGTTTGGTTTGCACAAAACGTGTTAATTGCTACAATTATCACTGACCAGAGAGTGGCAAACACGACCAAACCAAAGGAATGACGCATTTGGCGCTTGATTTTTGATCTAATCTTTTACTTTTTCTAGTCATATTAAACATACACCAGCAGCAGCGGCAGCAGATCAGAGATCGTGAATAGATCGTTTGCATACAAATGAGACGNGATCTAATCTTTTGCTTTTTCTAGTCATATTAAACATACACCAGCAGCAACGGCAGCAGATCAGAGATCGTGAATAGATCGTTTGCATACAAATGAGACGACTGCCATTGTCAGTGCACACACACCATGGTTGTAGGGGAGCTGCAGTGCACTGAATGACGGCCAGCGGTGCATCTCAACTATTCTCCGCCGAGAGCACCAGTTCTTCAGGGAGAACACTCGAGAGACCAGTCAGTGAGTGAGCGAGGCCGCTGCTGTCCTAATCGCACCGCTGACCTGTTGGTCGCTTCACTGCATTGCATAATATANGGTGTACTGAATGACGGCCAGCGGTGCATCTCAACTATTCTCCGCCGAGAGCACCAGTTCTTCAGGGAGAACACTTGAGAGACCAGTCAGTGAGTGAGCGAGGCCGCTGCTGTCCTAATCGCACCGCTGACCTGTTGGTCGCTTCACTGCATTGCATAATATAAGGCTTTCTCCTCAGCGCCACTGGCCATGATGGCAAATCAGCCCAAGCAGCTAAAGGCGCAATCATTGGTGAATGGGCTTTCCTTTCTCTCTTTCTCTCAGTTTTCCCTTTAAAAAATAGTGTTGATTAGAAACGATCGTGTTTGCCGTGCTCCTCGTCTAAGCGCTGGCTCCACTCTCTGGCACACATAACTTTGCAAATATTTGCGCACATTCAGAATTCCATTCACAATGCCAATTCAGCGCAAATAGTAGTAGGGCATTGGTAAGGCTGAGTGGTCATAACTGGACATAACGACACTGCACCAAGTTGCTCGGCTGACTCAAACGACCCATTGACAAATAAAAAAGGCTCCCTCCAAGTGGCAAAGTTCGTACTTTTCGTCTTTTGTGATGGCGATAGATTGCAAAAAACAATTTATATTTACATTTGTCAAGTTGCTTTTAAATTGTTAAATTTCAAGCTCAACAAACCCGATAAGGCTAATGATAGGGCAAAGTGGTAATTAAAAAATGGTGACAACCGAGGATAGTTATTATATAAAGCCGCGTTCATCGACCGGAACAGCGGGTATTAGCAGAAGCAGAAGAACAATAATTAGCAAAAAAGTAAACAAATTAGTCGTTGATAATTTACATTTAATTTATTGGCAAAAAAAGCAAATGGTCCAAAGAGATTTGGGCTAAATTTCAAATGCAGCAATTGGCCCGCAGTGTTGACTTGTTTGAAAATCGATCATTTGAACATTTAAAAAGAAAAAGTCAAATGTATGACTGCGTTGGTGTGTGTGTGTGTTGAACAGCATCGACTACTTTAATAGTACGAAAATGAAACTAAATTTAATTAAAAGCAGCATTTGTTATTCAGAACTCATCACCGTGGCATGTGAGCTAGTGTTTGTGTGGGCTTACCCTTCCCTCAGCCTCTACTGAATTGATTTATCTTAGTTTTGAAAACTACAAACAAATTCCCTGTTGGCGTAAATGATATTTACTTCTCCAGTAGCCACGCCAATGCTCAAGTGTTGCTCTGCTGTTAATGTTTCAATGGTTCTGTACCGCTTTAATTAGTAATTACTCCAACGCTTGAATGCCTTGCCAAAGACTGACCAACAACTTTGACAATGCTAAACAAATATAAATTAATTAGAAATTTAAATAAAGCAAATTATATATAGTAGAAAGTAATTTACTGTCAATACAGAGTCAAAGAGTAGGGACTACAACTACCAAAATGACTGATACTGAGGTGGCTGAGCCAGTGTAAATCTGCAGACCTTTGTAGGCCCGTGAGCGGCAAATATAAAAATTTATTAACAAAAGAAGACGATAGTTGGCTCTAATGGGCGCTAACGGGCGCGCCAACAGGAAATGAAATGGAAGAATATTACCAAGAAACGTTCCGATCTTTCGTTATTAATAACAATAATAGTGCTAAATAAACAGAATATCAACAGCAACCACGGTGGCTGATGATAAACGCAACCAGTGCAGTTGCTACTGTTTGTTCAGCAAATTGAGAGTCTTTCAGTGAAAGCCTCTCTGATGGTCGATGCTTAATTGAAGCTTACATTTCTGATTCACCAATTAGTTTTTTACACAACTGCAATTTGCAAACAATGAATAGACACAAGAAAATATTTTCTTATCAAATAGATCCGGTGACAACGGTTTGTTGAAAAACACACGAGACTCACATTTAGTCCTCAGGGTACAAACACTCGTGTGCTGTCACTTTCAATGTGTTTGACTCTACCACAACTCAATTGACTAAAATGTTTTATTTTCAATTTCAAAGAAATTGTTTGTATTGGAAAAGATTATACTAAATTGTTGCAATCTATTAAGCACACTTTTCATTTAATTACAGGTTGTAGAGTTGTTGTTTTATTAACCGAAAACAGCAGTGCCTGCCCCTCTGAGGTCCATAAAGGCAGTAGTCTGCACAAAGGAGACTGGCAGTTGCTGTAGGAAACAATAAACTAAACTTTAAGGAGTCAGTAGTGCTAGCTCAATTTTGACCACACAGTGAACAGAACTTGATTATTGGCGGAACTTTTCACCAAGCAAAAGAAAGTGAATAGTGAACATTGAGCAAGAGTGTGATTGTAATGGGACCGCTCATTATATGGCTGTAATGAGCTGGGTAAAGACAATCAAACTCACCAGTGCTAGGGCGAATGGGCGCGCGGTGCAGAGAAGGCTACCAGAGCCAGAGCCAGAAGCAGCNGGTGATTGTAATGGGACCGCTCATTATATGGCTGTAATGAGCTGGGTAAAGACAATCAAACTCACCAGTGCTAGGGCAAATGGGCGCGCGGTGCAGAGAAGGCTACCAGAGCCAGAGCCAGAAGCAGCCACTGCACTGGGCAAGGCACAGTCCATCGCTGCAGTCGATCGTCCTCACACTCTGCGCGCGTGGAGNACGCGGTGCAGAGAAGGCTACCAGAGCCAGAGCCAGAAGCAGCAGCCACTGCACTGGGCAAAGCACAGTCCATCGCTGCAGTCGATCGTCCTCACACTCTGCGCGCGTGGAGCATGCTTTATTTGCATCTGATTATGGCAATATGAAAATTACTTCCACGTCTGCTTCTTTTTCTCTTTCTCTTATTGCATTTCGTCGAATGCTGAGTGAATGTTTTCAAATGGCAAAGTGTACTTAAGAGTTGCAATGCAATTGTTAATTTGGCGCACTCTTCAAGAGAGTGCCAGTAAGAGAGTGAGTGAGATTGAGTGAGAGGCTGTTCAGTCAGCAGTAGTGTCGTCGACATTTTGCTTTATCTGCGCTATTTTGGCGTTGCCTCCCATTGAAATGCGCTCAAATAGAATTAGAATTAGACGGTTTAGAGTGGTGCACCGTGCTGATGGTGATGGTGGTGCTGCTGCTGATGCAACCTCCTTGTATTGTCCGCCTGCAGAGAGCAGTGAAATGGCAACGGACCGGCGAAAAGTACTCGCCCCTTCACTTACTCACTCTCACCCTCTGACGATCTCTTGAGTGGAGCACCAGCAGCAAAGCCGTTCTCCTTTGCAGGCACTTGGAAGCACTCTGACAGGTTGGCATTCGCCGATAGGCAGCAAAGCATTGTCTGCACTGTCTGTGTGTCACTTTGCTCTCAAAATAATCGGCTGTTTGCAAACACCCAAACAAATTGCCACCGCAGGTTACATTTGATAAGTTTGTGTTCCTTTTATTTTCTGTTGTCAGCCACCCCTCATGTTCAATGCTCACCAAAGTCGTCGCTCAAGGAAATTTCCGACGTGTATGCAAATACAGGCAAAAGTTGTTTGGAATTAGTCTGAAAAGGCGACAGAGTGTGCAAAGATGATTGCTGCTCTAAAACTGCACACGCAAGTTGAAAAAGTTGCATTTTAAATGAACTAATTAAATTAGCCCACCAAAGTAGCAACTACGTGCGACTACCAAATTAAAAGTGAGAGAGCAAGTGAGGCCAAATCACATTTGACAAAAGCAAAACATTCATACGCACATCTGAGAATGTAGTGAATGTAATGAATCTCATTTACCCTTGCCGGCCACTAATTGGGTGCGTCAGAGCAGGGCAAAACACCACCAATTCAAACTCGTAGTGAGTTCGTGCGTCAACAAGCCATAACTTTGTTTTGCTGACGCGATGCTGCACTCTGCTCAAACATACCCTGATCTACTCACCAATCTATCTCAATCGCATACAAAGTAGGCCCGATCGACAAAATATTGAGAAAGAGAGGAATCAAAGAAGAGAAACGCTTACGCAAGTGGCATGCAATGAAAAGTTATTGAAAATGAAAGTACTCACCGATCTGAAATGTTAATGAAAAGTGAAAGTGGGAGAATGAGAAAGAACGAGAGGAAGAGAGATAAAAGTTAAATTAGTGAGGATGCAGAGATGACATTCAGGCAATGACATATACCAATGCTGATGGCCATCAATGTGAAGACGCTGGCGGCCACGGAGAGGATGGCGACAAAATTGCTTACTTTGCAATACATTTCACCAAACGGCCAGTCGCCGTTAAGCATGTAAATGAAATTTTCAAGCACGTTAAGTAGCGCCACCATAGTGTCGGCAAGACTGAGATTCACCAGAAAATAATTGGTTACTGTTCTCTGTGTAAAGCAAAGGGATTCGTCATTCTCTTGATTGTTTTTGCCAGACCACGACCGAGCAAGCACCAGAAGTCTTTAAACAGAAGAACAGGACACTGAGAAATGGAAAGGGGAGAAAAATAAAAGACAATCGAGTGGCAATTGGCTTTGCTAATGCACCATTCGAGTGTGCTTGTTCCTAATCAATAGCTTAAATGGCTTTGTTTCTGTGGGCAAAGCTTTTCGAGCAAAAAGAGCTGATAATTCAACTAAGCCAGTCTGGTAATGTGGCTAGTGGTAATTAAAGTTTTAATTAAAGTAGGCTATGTTGGCGGCGACATGTCATCTCGAAGAGAGTGCAATTTTTCTTCGGTAGAATGCTCGAATGCAATGTATGTAATATTCTCTACTCGGATGGGCCGGCAAGTGGTAAGGCAGCGGCGGAAAGGCTAAGAACACTAACTGGTAATGGGGCTAGGAAGACTGCCGGCAGCAAGTGGCAGTGAATGCAATCTATCTTTATAATTCAATTAGTGGTCGTTGTATCAATCAAAGACTACTATTGATCATGTGTCTCCCATTCGCTAGTCGCCTGGTAATATCAACACTGCTGTTCTCATTGGCTTGGCTCGGTCATGGCTCAGAGAAAACTCAACGGACAACGGCGCCCGTCTGCAGCACTTGCCATTCTCTTGTGCGTCAAGACAATCCATATCACAATAATGTTGCCTCCAGCAGCGACGAAGATCATGGAGCCAAAAATAAAGCTCCAAATAATTTGAGTGAATAAAGGCATGATGTAGATGTTGTGATCCTGCTGTTCCTGCTCGTAGTCGGGCGACATGGAGGCGGTGCTGATTATCGATGACACCGTGCAGTTCGGATCGCCGCTCACTAAAGTGGTGAGCGTCGTGATGAGGCCATCGGCGGCCAGAGTTGAGGTGGTGGTCGGCACTGTGCTGGACACTGCACCCTCGGTGCCCATGGAAAGCGTCGATGAGGCCGCGCTGAGGCTGGCGGCGATGGAGTTGAGCGGCAAAGTGGACCCGCCATTGGATGAGGGCGAGAGGATGCCGTAGAGCGAGGTGACCAGAGGAGAGGACATGGGAGAAAGATGGCTCCCATTGCCTCCTCCTCCTCCTCCTCCTTCTCCTCCTACTGTCCACCAGGAACCGGTCGTGGTGGTCATTTGCTGGGCACTGGCTGAGCTGCTCAAGCTGCTGGGTAGCCATGGAGGGGTCAAATTGGAAGATGCATTTGCAGTCATACTGTGGCTAGCAAAAAGAGCAATGCACACACACACTTACTGCGGCCGACGATTAAAACTTTTCACTTTAACTTTTTTATTAAAGTTTTCAATTCGACAGCAACACTGCACAAAATTCAAATTGGGGCGATAGGGAATTATTACAGGCAGGCATGCTTTCTCTCCCACTCATTATGCAACAACTTTGTAGGTGCTGGAAATTAGAAATGACACTGTGTGCAAGAAGAAGAACTGGGTAAAACAACAGGCGCAGAAAACAGAGATGACTGTGGTTGTTGATGGTTGGGCGCTGGGCGCCATAAATTACGCCAGTGCTTGGCTGCGGTCCGATTGGCACTGAATGTTTACATTCAAACTGACATTGGCGAATTGTTGTTTAGCGGCTGCTGTTGTTTAGAAGGCAAAAAGACAGACAGACACACACATAGACACTGGCACACACACATACACAGACACGTTCTAATCGGACCATTACGAGTGCCGAGAGATTGTCTAGGGCGGAAAAAGTTTGGTGGGCAGACTTGGCAGTCATCGGGCGGTCATAAGCGGTGCGCACCTCGACTTTAAAACGTTTTTGCATATTCTGGTGCGATTTTTATCGAGACAGCAGTGCAGCTAAGCGAAAGTGAACACAAGTTATTAAATTGAAATCGAATTGTTGCAGACGATTGAATACACGAATCAGACGATGAGCAACATATGAGGCGGAGAGCTGGTGCGTGCTGCACGTCCAATGATTGCTGATCGCAGTGGAATGGAATGGGCTGAAATATTGCACCGAATTGTGTGTGGCAGATGCCAGCGGTGCAACAACACTGACTGCCACAGTTGAAAGGAATCAGTTGCGATGTTTCGGGTGTTGTTGCTGCTGCTGCTGCTGCTGTTGCCGATGATGCTGGTGCTGGTGTTGCTGGTGATGGTGTTCCTTGAGCTGGTGGTGTTTTGCTGTGCGGGATCGATCACAATCACCGCCAATCAGACAATTGAGCGCCGCTGGTCGATGGCGGATGATGACGCACTGGAGAATAGGATAGGATAGAGCAGAAGAAAAGGAGAGAGAGAGAGAGAGAGAAAAAAAAGTCCACAAGACGGCGTCCGTCGAATGAAAGCAAGTGGACCCGCAGCACGAGTCGCGGTACACTGAGAGGACTGAGGCTAAGTGCCGGCTGCATTCGGCATTTTATATCGATAGCTGCAGCAGAAAAGGGTCAGAAAGCTCAGTGGCGGCAGGAGAGGCGCTTCTGCGCGTTACACCCCATGCCGCAGCCGCACCACTGCCCTGCACAAAGTGTGAATGTGTAAATGGGCATTATTGAAACATACGCATTCAAGTGAGTCTCAGGCACTGGCTGGCTGGACCACCTAGCAGACTGTCTAATTAGCAACACGGTGGGCAATTAGCCAGATGATAGATCGAAGTGCATTGTCGTCTTTTCTACAAATATGTCTGTGCTTATGATATATGTGACCATTTTTTCTATTAGTCTGGGGCAACTGGTAGCGTACAGTTTCGTTCAGTATGGCACTCTTGCAGAAATGACTGTGTAGCTTTTTTGGTCAATTTTTTGGTTGACCAGATTAATGGCGGACTGGGAAACTAGCCAACCAGCCAGCCAGTCTGCCAGTCAGCACACACAC